ATATGCAGCACAGAACCCCTCCATCACAGTTCACCCTTTCTCCAGTCCAGTCCAGCCTATGCGCAGAGGTGATATTGCATACTCGTCTCGTGCTTCACTTCCCCGCAGGTGTGGGTGAACCGCAGGAGATGAATACTCAACACTAGCATATTCATCACCAGTCCAGCTTTGGATCACTAGTAGTACCACAAGACTCTGGAGTTCTAACCCAGTCATACACTCCACCACGCAGAAAGAAGTTCTCTTTATCAAAGTGAACACGGCTTAAAGCCTTGCTCACGCCAACTTCCAAAATAGACGGTGTCGGTTCTCCAGTACCCTTATTGAGGAAACGCATGTATTCGTCCATGATGAGATAGGAGCTCTTCATCACCTTATTCGACTCAGCAATAAAGCATTTGTTGTGGGCGTGAGTCTTGCAGAAGAGATCATATTCCTCGTCCGTGATGGTGAATTTTCTCGCATCCCGCAGAGTATCGCTGGAATCATTCTCATCCTCCACGATCAATACCTGGAAACACTTCCACCGGAACGGGTTGATCTTCGCGATAGAGGCGTTCATATCCTCATCGAAGTTGAACCGATTCACCACGGTATTCAACTTGAATTTTATCCCATGCTGTACACACAGCTCTGATATCCGGGTGATGTTGTCCAGATGCGCCCCAGTTCCTCGCCCTATCTTGACGTTGGTCTCCTCACGGAACGAGTCGCACGACACGGCAATAATATCGATGTATTTGCCATATGTCGAGAGAAAGCTTTTCGTCAGTCGACTTCCGTTCGTGACAATCGAGACAGACTCAATCTGCAGGTCCTCTTTGCAAAACTTAATAAGCGACCCGAGGTGCTTAGGGTAGAGCAGTGGCTCCCCGCCGGCGAAGTTTATCTTCCGCATCCCAGCATCCTTCAACAGTGCGAGTCCCTTCTTTGCTGATTCAAGTGGCTCAAGATAGGAGGTCTTGGCGGTGTGGAAGCAGAAACCACATTCGTAATTGCATCGGCGCGTAAAATGATAGTTGACTGAGAGAGGTGTTTGTTGTCTTCTTTGTCTGAACCACTGCACTCCGATGTAAAGAGCAATGATTCCTGCGATAACGAGAGAGGTAAGCATTGTGATATGGCTTTTGCTTCTTCGATTTTGCAAAAAGGGGACTTGAATAGAGAACCCCAAATATATTATACCATATTTTCTGTGTCGCGACTCGCGAAGCAGCTCAAATTGGGCAGCCACGCGAACGCTTTCAGCTGGGATCTAGCGGTTCTCAGCCGCGCGGCGGGGTCTATACAGATGATCTACATCGACTAGCCACTAGTAGCCAACTACTGCTGTGGTATATCACATCAGGCAGATCTATATCTGTACATTCAGCTCGGTTCGAAATAAGTGGGGTCGAATGATGATCGGGTTGGGCGCGCAGCTGAATGTGCAGGTGAATCCATATAATAGTCATGGCGGTGCATTTAAGTACTAGGTGTCAGTATTCTTCCCCATCTGAACTTACGTCAAGTCTTTGAATAATATTGTTGAAAGGAAAAAAAAAGGATGACGATTATGCCTACGATACACCATTCTTCCAAGAAACCCAAAATTTTATTCATTCTAGGTAACGTTGGTTTATGGTCTATGGTTGCCTTCCATTCCGGATTCAGTGGATACTGACTATACACCTTCTGAAGGTGGCCCTGGAGTAGGAAAAGGAACACAATGTACGAGACTCGCGACCGATTTCGATGTTGTCCACCTCTCCGTTGGCGATCTCCTTCGAACCCAAAAGAACCCAGAGCTTTCATCGTTGATTAAAAACACCATGACCGGGGGTGGAATTGTGCCACTTGAGATCGTAATGGCGGCAATACAGGATGCAGTGGACGAGCACGTGAGAAATGGTCAAAATACGTTTCTGATGGATGGTTTTCCTCGTAGTCTGGAGCAGCTCGAGGCTTTTGAGGAGCAGGTAGCTGCGCATCCCCACCGAACCTGAGATTGGGAATCTGACCAAGCCATAGTTCGGCCATTGTTGCGCGACACTTTTCTTTCAAGGCCCTGAAGATGTCCTGCTGAGACGGGTTCTCAATAGACACAAAACATCTGGAAGAGTCGACGATAATGAGATTACTTTCCGAAAGAGAATACAAGGATACTATGATCAAACCATACCTGTGGTTGACAAGTTGAGAGCACAAGGGCAGGTCATAGAGGTCAGTGAAGCGACTTTTTATGGTATTTGCTCTACTAAGGATTTATAGATCGATTGCACCGGTGACTTGGATGAAGGATATGACACAGTAAAGCAGGTCTTTATTGAAGCCGTCTCACGTTAAATTCTGAACTTATTGTCGCGGGACCGTCTCTGCGAGACCATGATAGTAAATTGCTGTGGCCCACTGCTGGTTGGCAGATCGCCCATACCGGACCATCATCCGACTTGTGGTTCATATGCTGTGATAGTTGCCTGACGGTCTGTGCCTGGATTTCTCACTTTTTTCTTGTTTCGCACTTTTTTGCGCGCCTAAGAAGTTCAGCGTGTTTTCTTATAGAAGAGATCCAATATCTTAGAATTATGCCACTTACGGCCTCATGTCAAGCTGGAGAACCGAATTTTTCAAAGTAAGCCGTAAGTTTTCCCTTAGGCCGACTGTTGTCAAAGAACCACGAGTATTTCTTCATAAAGACGTCGATATCTCGGTGCGCCTCCTGGGCGTTTTCATGGAGAAGTTCAATTTCCCCCACCGCATGGCCGAAATCCGTACTATCCAGCATGACCGAAAATTTTTCATCCGCCAGAAATGACTCTCTTGTCGTGGTAAACTGACAGATGATGTCCAGTCCCAGGTTATCCCCCTTTTTCTCCAGGGTATCCGGGAGAAACTGGCCCACGATCTTCTGGATTCGACTGTAGTCATTGATTTCCTCGAATGCGGTTCGAGTGAAGCTTCCTTCCACTCGCTTTTTCAGTTCCCAGGCTCCCTCGCGTTTTCGAATCCATATTCCATTGTTAGAAAAGAGATTTCCACGATCAAAGTAAGCATCAGAGAAGCGTTGAGTTCCTCGACTTGTTAGACTTAGGAATGGAGGGCTGCCCTTGTTGCGTCGGAAAGCATTGCGAAGGAGAGGGTTGAAGCTAAACTTCTGCTCAACCTCAAGAAGAACCATGGTATCCTCCTGGTGCGGGTTTATAGCTTTTTTACCAGATGCATATAGATGGGCAATTCGTCTCGGATATTTGTTTTGGCCAAGTAGTAAGGGCAGCACGCGTTAAGTCGGGACAGGCCAAACCACAAAATCCCAATCCTTGGCACCTCTAAACCTATCAAGGTTAGAGGCATCGCAATGTGGACCTTCCCAAGCTACTAATGAAGTTACTACTGGTTACTAGACACGCGGCAGTTGACCGCCACACCATTCACTTGAGTATAGAGATTTCATTAATTCACCAAGATTGAGTAATCTCGACAAGGAGGTGTGCCTACAGAGTCATGAGCAGCACCTGAATCTTGTGTTTTTGGCAGTTCTGGCCATGTATGCAGGTAAACAGACTACCATACCTTAGGACGGAGTGAATTACTACATAGCAATTAGGGTGATCGGCAGCTCGGGTTTCGGGTTCTAGATCTAAAACCCGCCCCCGACCCACCAGTACCACTGGTTCGGCTCTTAGACAAGCTGATCTCAATACATACTCCGGCGTATGAGCTCCAGAGTACTCCGTATCGAGATCGGGATACTTGACTCACTTAAACCCAGAACTAGATTATTTAGCCAGCAGTTAACTTTTTCATCTCAGCCTAGGGGCCGGGTTTTCCGATTCAAACCAGTGTATTGTCATTTTTTAAGCCCGTAGATTTATATGGGCGTACCAGTAATATGGATCCAACTATGGAGTACGGAGTACGCCTTCGACCTATTCCTTGTAGGGCCCACCGCAGGACTCCAGCCTCTACGAGTAGTTGGCCCACTCTAGTAGCTGAGGCAGAGAGGCCATAGTTATGTGTATACAAAGGATGTAGAGACCTTCTGTCTATTTAGGAAGTCGGCAACTCTCTACCTACCGCTACTTGCAATTACTAGAGATGAGTATTATTTACTATAAGGTGAAAAGGTTCTATGCTATATAATCAGCAACGTATCAGTCATCATGCAAATGATTTCAATAAATATCAATTTAATTTATTATATTTACTTCAAAGAATCAGTGTCACGGGCTCACGCTATAGCTATATAGAGTGCGATCCGGGGAGATCATGAATCAAACCCTAGAGTCTGATTTAGTATAGTGACCTTTTGGCCCAGTTAGGAATACGCTTGCCGGACACGTCTTCGTACAGATAGTATTTCTGGATAAACTCGATAATGGGCCCATGGAAAGAGAAGTTCAAACGTGGTTTTTGCGTAGATAACCTATAACTACCTTCTGAGAATGGTGTAGAATCTATGATGGTGTTCCTTCATGGCAGGGAGGGACACTGTCGTTCGGTATTATACTACTTGCTCCTGGCCGATCCGTCCGCTCTTTGATAGAATGCTACAATCAACTGTATTTTGGGGGATGACCAGATCCATATATCCAGCCAATCTTAGATGAGCTTTAATCGCGCTGGAGTTCCTCAGCATGATTTAAGCATCCTCCTGCATCCCTAGTCTGGAATTCTTGTATATTGGAAGACAGGCAATAGACTCCCTGCCATTGAATGGCTCATTACTCTTCATTTGCGCCTTGTTAATAATTCCAGAAAAAGGTTCATTGTCTGTCCTCTCGTAGTTTTTTAGGTCCTAATGCCAAGATATGCCATTTTGAGGTACGCCTCTTCCGTAGTATTGTGAATGTAGAGATGTATGGTACGTGTAGGAAGCAAAACCATAACCAAAATTAGCTTTAAAGTGCCTGCCTCAGGTACTAGTATACAGTCGGAATCCGAATTCTTACTAAGGTATGCGAGCTAAACCCTAGAAACAACCCTTAGTATCTTATCAGCCATGCCTGCCAGTTCCACCGTCTTCAATCAATCGCAGCCAAAACAGTTGCAATGGCGTACTCCCCATCATGACTAATTGAAAGCTGCGCAGCACGCTTCGTGACCGGCGGTCGATTCTCGTCATTCCCCTCGACCGTATCTACATGCTGAAAACTGTGTATCACTAGCAGTGGCTTCATTTGCCCTGGAAGCACCAATACCTCAGCATGATGCCATCCAAGGCGCTGCGGATAGACAGCTTTCATTGCTGCTTCTTTAGCGGCAAATCTGGTCATTGTTTAGCGTATCCTCACTGTAGTTTTACTGGTTTGCCTTACCGTCCAGCAACCCAGCTTGACAGTCTCCATAGCTCCCGGTCATAATCGTCCTGTTGACGACTATTCTCATCCGTCCGACATACTGCAGTGTCTAGATCCTTTTTCAACCGTAAGACGTTATCATGCCGCTGTTGAAAAGCGTCACGTTCCGATTCACTGAAGATCCGTTTGCTGAATCGCTCGGCATATTTCGGGTTCTCGCGAGTCAAGATTCGTCTGATTCTGGGAATATGGCAAATGTCGGTACCAACACCGAGAGGGTATGGAAAGGGAATGATATCAGATTTCGGCATTTTGGTAGTGGCCCGATTTAGGATCGGACTGTGGGGCTACGATCTCATTTATCTAATTTATAGGGAGGAGCACAGAACAACTACCCGACTCTTGGCTGGGGTCGGCTTGTTGAATTGCGAAGCCATTCGATAGTAATTCTTTTTGTCAACAGCATTTTCTAAGCTGTTTATTAACCTATCACAATAACTAGATTGCACAACGAACTTCGAAGACCAGATATAGCAAGTCAATCATTTACTGCTGGTTGTTTCTGATGTAGTCAATGGCGTCTTGGACTGTCCACACGGGTTTGGAATTAGCATACGCAACAGAACACAGACACCCAGAGACACTTACCAGTTTTGAGGTGTTCAGCATCTTCCTCTTTAATCTCCATGCCGAACTCCTATTCACCTAGTCAGTAAATCTATAGAGCACGGAAACTATAAAGGAGGGGCGCTGTGGATCTCTAGCCTTACCTCTTCCAATTGCATTATAAGTTCGACTGTGTCAAGAGAATCGGCACCCAGGTCACCCACAAAGCTGGCATCATTCTTGATCTACAGAGGCTCAGTTAAGATTAAGTATCATAACAGATAGGAGGACCCTACCGCCTCTGGCCTTTTGTCAAGTTGGTCTGCAACTACTTTCTTTACTCTCTCCTCGATAGTGGGCATGTTGTATTCAAGATGATCGGGACGTCGAGAAGATTTTTGAAGTGACAAAATTAATCGGGCAACGTGAATTTTCAATATTTACATTCTATCTTGAGAAAGCGTCCCATATTTATATGGGGCAACCCCTCATCGGTTCTCAATCCAGTTAGTCTTCAGCTTAGTTAACTAAAAACTCTCGATTGGTAAACCTCAGCGTCCGGGTATATTTTCCCAACAAACTCTCGGCACATATAAGGCGAAAGACTTGTCGCTGGATCTAAACACGTGGTAGAGAATATCACACCTGCGGGTCTCCAACTACCCTCATGTCTTCGTAAAGACACAATGTCTCATATAATCCCGTCTGTCGTGGAGATGGTGTGCAATATCTTGGATTTGAACGTGACTGTTTTCAGAAACTTTGCTCTTACATTTATTATACAGTGTGGATTCTGCTTTGCAAGTATGCCGAGAAGGCATAGATGGCCCTGTTTATCTTAAGACACCTATGTACCAGGTCTGTTAGATCACGATGTGAATGCGCCTCAGTTTATTCATCTATTCTCTGAGGGGCCCTTCCATTGCATGTTGTTTTCAGAGAACGTTGATGCTACGGTGATTCATGAGTATAGGTGCTTCCCCAGGCAATATTCAGGTATACGCGCTCTACTCGGCAGCACAGCTATCTTTCTTTCTGGGCCATTGAAAATAAGATTGACAATTGCTTATCGCACGAAGGCCGGATATTGATTGTGACCACTAACGCTCCATAAGTATACATATATCTGACGAGGAACTGTGCAGAGCTTTCTTAAACATGTCCATTGAGGGGGGCCGTATGAGACAGCGAAATTTCTTTCAACCCCACCAAAACGAAAACTCGCCCTAAGCGAGGTGCAGGGCAATCTGTTGCAGTAAAGAAAGCGTCTACTGAGGGAGGGTGCGAAAAGATCATGCTGATCCCAGTGGGGGGTTCGTACATCGTTTCCTTCTACGAATTTTGCCAGCTGTATACAAAACATAATAGGGCCTGAGACGGGCGGTGCTGCTTTTGCCCACAGTGGTTCTGGCGGTTCCACACACGATCTTCTCACACCCTTGTACATAGTATGGCTGGGTCACCAAGTGGGTTGTGGAGATGATTTTTTTGATTATTTTATTGTTCAGTAGTGAAGGTCACTGTTTTCCAGGTGTTTCCCGAAACCGCGTCCCGATTGGTTGCTCAATTGTAATTCTATGTCACTGCTTTCGAATTGGTCGCTCGATTCCAACGCCACGTGACTGTGTTTCTATACTGTGAGGGCGTGCGATCCAGGCAAACACGCGCCCAACTTGGCCAAAGGGTTAGATAATTCTCAATAGTAGATTCAGAATACCATACATTGCACCTATATAGTATACTACCGTTACATATACTGATGTACACCTACTCTGTATTCTATATTCTACCACCAGGATCTCTGGGGCCTGAATCCTACTAGTAGCTTAAACTGCTTAAGCTACTTCAATGAGTTCAATGATCGATAGATTCCATCTATCTTTAAATATAGAAACCTTAAGTTGAAATGAGAAATGAATGTCGGAGATCTCTTCAGATACCAAAGACGGAGTACCTACTGGGAAGTAGTCCTGCAATACAAACTCCCCTGAGGAAATCTCCAGATACTTCTACAAGCGAACGAATTGATAGCACTGGTGCGTTCCATCGTGCAATTGCAACCACCTTCGGCCCCACGTGGCCCATCTTATCGTGTCAAACATAAGGTTAACGGGACGGAGTATGATAATAACCAAAGTTAGTAATGCTAGGTATTTCTGACGACTAACCTAGCATAAACTTTATTGCATCTATGTTGGTCTGACAGGTAGACAGGTATCAGTTTAGACTCCGAGCCTATCTGACCTGTACCATGGATCACGGGCTCAGACAGATGTCTCTGTATCTGAGACAAGGACTGTAATTTACAGGATCATGGTTTTTCCGTCGTGTCTCACAAAGGAACGGATCATTGTCATTAGGATTAACAATGAGAATATAGGTATAGGGTATGATTGATGAGTAGGTATGGATTAGCCTGAAGTTCACGTTACTACAATGCGTGAAAGCCCTTAGAGCCTGTAGCACCGAAGCACTCATATCCAAAGCCAGCTTCGCCTTCCTTTGGGTTGATGTGGCGAACTGGCTGGATTGCCGAGTGTATCACATTAACCTGACATAAAGAAGTGGCGTCGTAATCGATGCAAAGAGTAAACCCGTTATGGATGAAAGTGAGGCTTGAAGGACAGAAAATATAATAAAGGAACAAATAGAGCTCATGATCACCGTCGAAGGCTGTCCAGCCTGGCTTGTAGATCGTCATCGGCTGAGCTCCCCCCAGCACCAACTGGTTGGGCAACTCGAGTCTCGCCGACGGCAGTCTTCTGTATGTCGGTTGGCGTCTCACCCAGCTGTTCAAGAGTGAAAGTTAGTATACGCACAGCTCTAATGTAGACGAAGAAGAGAACACGAACCGCCTGGCTGAGATCTACACCTATTTCATCCAAGACTTCCTTGACAATATCTTCGCTATCTTCGTCCTCACCCTCCATTCCAGTTGCTTCGTCAATCGCGTCATCCATCATTTCTTGTCGCTGATCCATAATATCATTTTCTCGTTCAAATTCCATAGCGATTCGTTGCAGCGCGGGAAGGTTCATTTGTCGGTTCATACTACCCAATAGCATTGTGGCGCCTTTCATTGATTGCATCATCTGTTCGTTGCTGCGAACGGTCTGCACAACATCAAGTGAGTAACAGGTACCGCTATTCGTACGCCTTGGGACCATCCTACCTGAATGCGGAGGGAAATCGCTTGAAGTTGCGTTCGCATTTGATAGAATTTCTGGATGTACCTAGACCCAGTAGCTTCCATTAGCTCATGATTGTGGCGTATAGAGTGAGCTCCTTTGGTATGCATACCGTCTCGTCCTGACCAGGTCTTTGGCCTGGATCTTGCAGGCTCCAATCTGACCATTCTTGGCGCTCTTCTTGATGTCTTGCACCAGCTTCTTTTCCTGATTTTCCAGCTTGGTTCTCTCCCGGTCCAATTCGCGCTGTGTCCGGTCAAGAGCCCTTTGATGTTTGCGCAGGCGCTCTGCTGGTGTCATGCGCTTTCCGAATGCCCATTCGATGACCTAGACAATGAACAGCGTAAGCGGGAAAGTCATGACGGCAAATAACAACCCAGAACATACATTCATCTTGGCCAGTCACAAAGATCTCCCGTGCAAAACTGTAAGAAATGAAAACAAAGAGGCTGCGTAGAAGGTACAAATGAAGAGAGCGGGATTGGGGAGGGGAATATCTGATACGATCCGAAGCCGCGCGGTGACATCAAACCTAAGAACTAATACGCCGAACGGGCGGATCCAAACTAATAAAATTACGGGGGCGACAGTCACATGGCGGCGACCAACCCCTTTTGGGACATGGAATTTCCACGCCGTTTTTATGCTCATGTAAGCGGGTCTCCCGACTGACGAAAAAACAAGTTCCGTTTCATCGCATCTTGCCTGACCTTTCGACTTCCATGCACCACGCATCCTTTTCGTCATGAGTCAGGAGTATTTCCCCGGCAACGGCGGTTCCTCTGCTGGTGAGGGTTCGTCAAGGCATCCTCCGCAGCAGGAAGCGTCCGAGTACCCTTTCTTCCCGAACGCCCCGCCCGCGTACATGACCGTTGGAAATGGTTCGACCTCGGAGAGCGCGACGGCCTTGATGGCATCTTTGAACAGAGACTCGGGCTATGGTGACAGTATCGCGAGTGGCAGTTTGAGGGATGGTGATGCGGGTGGCGACTGGAGATCCGATATGATGGTGGATAGACCGACCCCGATACATACTCCAACACTCCCGGGACAGTGGAACCCAGCAGGTTGGTTATTCTGCTCATGGCCGGTATCTTTTGGGGACGTATAATTTTCTAACGTGGATGTGCACCAGCGGAACATGAGCGACAGGTTGTGGCGAGCCATGTTCACCAGCTACTATAGTACGTTTGCGACCTCAAAACAGCGGAATGAAAGTTCTAACCGCTCTATAGCAACTCCAACAGGACGAAGCTCGGACGCGCTATTACACGAACTCTCGATACTTTGAAGGACCTCCAGGAGATGAACCGTCAATGGCCTGCCCACTACCCGTCAGTACGAGATACTGCGGATTCTCCTTCAGACAGACCCGCGTTGCGCCAGGCGCAGTCATTCTTCGACGATGGCGACATTCAACAAGGGGAATTTAGGCCTGGACCTATTAGACGAGCAGCTACGGTATCAAATAGCGACGACCTGGCTGCAGCGGAATCAAGTGCCGCTGCGGAACGTCGGCCAGTGCCAGAACCGAGATTGATAACCCCACAGATAGCGCAAGAATTTTCTATCCTGAAGCTTGACTTGAAGCTAGGTGCTCTGTCTCAAGTGGAGTTAGTACATTCGTTGGAAAAGGCTTCCATTGCGTCTCTTTTGGACGGAAAGATCAGCCAGAGTGTCAAGCACCTTCTCTCGCTGCGTGACAGGATCGAAGATACTTCGAGCAAGGTTTTGATTACTGGTGACCTTAATGCGGGAAAGTCCACTTTCTGTAATGCTCTGCTGCGCCGCAAGGTGCTGCCCGAAGACCAGCAACCTTGCACCAGCATTTTCTGTGAGGTTCTTGATGCGCGGGAGAACAGCGGGGTTGAGGAGGTGCATGCAGTCCACAAGGACGTAGACTACAATCGCAACGATGAGAGCACATACGACGTGTATCCCTTGACTGAGCTCGAGAATATCGTGATCGACAACTCCAAATACATGCAATGCAAAGTCTACGTTAAGGACGTGCGAACCATTGACGAGTCTCTACTGAATAATGGGGTCGTCGATATCGCTCTGATTGATGCCCCTGGCTTGAACTCCGATTCCTTGAAGACAACCGCTGTTTTTGCTCGGCAGGAAGAAATCGATGTTGTTGTGTTTGTCGTTTCCGCTGCCAATCATTTCACGCTCTCAGCCAAGGATTTCATTCACAACGCGGCAAAAGAAAAAGCATACATGTTTATCGTTGTCAACGGATTCGACCAGATTCGCGACAAGCAACGGTGTGAGCGAATGATTCTGGATCAAATCAACAAACTTAGCCCTCGTACGTACAAGGAAGCTGCAGAGCTCGTTCATTTCGTATCAAGCAATGCCGTTCCTGTTGCACCTCCTATGTCCGTGGAAAGTTCTGGTTCCGGTGGTGGCGGGGGCTTCGATTCCGACGGGGATGACGATGATGACGATAGTAAGCCCAAAGGCAAAGGCAAAGACAAAGGGAAGGAGAAACAGAAGATCCAAGATTTCGAAAACCTTGAAAGCTCTTTGCGACGGTTTGTTCTCGAAAAGCGTTCTCGCTCGAAGCTCGCCCCTGCCAGAACTTATCTTCTCAACTTGCTTGGAGATTTGAACTCCCTAGCCTCCGTCAATCGCGACATTGCCCAATCCGAACTCAAGCGTGTCACAGAAGAATTGGCAGAGCTCGAGCCAGCTTACGAAGGCGGCCAGAAGAAGAAAATAGAGCTCGACGTGCAGGTTGAGAAAAATATTGATGATTCATGCGAAGATGTCTACAACCATACGCGATCGACCTTGTCGGACACTATTGCTCGCGTTTCAGAGGCTGATTTGGGTGTTGAATACCCTGGTATCTTCTCTGCATTCCAGTATGCGGAAGATTTGAAGTTAGCCATGCTGGAGCAAATATCCGCCGCAGCTTCAGCTTGCGAGGACTATGCGCGCGTAAAAACAGTAGACGGTGTAGAAGCCATTCAAAAGATTGGTCTTCTTCACGTTGGAGACAAATTTGCACCCTTGAATTTCCGTGCCGATATGATGTTCCGCCGTAGTCGACGCCATACATTTGCCAAACAAGTCGATACGGAAGTTGAACTATTGGATTTCTTCGATATTGCTGGCATTTGGGAGCGGCAAGAGAAGGTGGCTGGAACAGGAATGGCCATGACAGCTGTCACTGTCCTCGGAGGCAGAGTCTTCGGCGGTATTAGCTGGGTTGACAGCGCATTTAGTGCAGCTAAGTTCCTTGGCCCCAACAACTTGCGACGCCTCTTAGTTCCGGGTATTGTCGCGGCTGGTAAGTGTTTAATTCGTACCGGATCCTTGAGCGCAAAACTAACTTGAAACAGCTGCTTTGACCGCTGCATATGTACTTTCTACAATTCCCACTACACTGCCTCCTCGCCTCTCACGCAAGATCGCCGCTGCTCTTGAAGAGAAAGACTACGTACATTCGAACGCTACCCGGATCTCGACTGAAGTCCGGCGGGTTCTCCGTATCCCGGCCAATAATCTCCAGGCCAGTCTCGCCCAGGACATCGAAGACCTCGGAAGACGCAAGCAAGAAGTCAGCAAGACCAAGGTTGAAAGTGAGAATGCAAGCAAGTACTTCTCCAACCTCTTCCGGGAAAGTGGTGAGAACAGAAGGTCTGTAGAGAGTATAGACCTTGATGGCCCGCTGCCGGGTGCAATGGGTGCCCATGAGCCATGAGCTTTGAGCTTTGAGCTTTGAATCTCCCTTGCGTTATATGTACAAAAAGTAATGATTCTGTATGAGTTATCCGGCCGGCTGTGTCTCGAGGGTGCTAATTCTGCTTCGGTTCGCAAATATCCCTATCGTGTACAACAATTATTGTCCATCCATTTTTACCCCTTCGCCTCATTTATTTTTATTTCCCCCTTTTTGTGGAGGTCGTGATTCACGTTGATAGCCCTCCTGTTTACACTTGCATTGGCGTTTGAAGAACTCAGCGTATTGGACTCCCACTGCAATTGATGCTTTTATTTAAACCTGTAGGTAGCCACCTATCTACACAGTTGATTGTTATTGCAGAGAACTTGTCATCTTTCCTGATCGAAAGCATTCTAGAATAAATGATAATAGATGGTATCAACGAGAAATTCCAAGATAGATTCATCCGTAACTCCCAGCAATGACCAGAGACGCCATTTCGATGCTATCTATGCCATGCCAAAACCATCGTTAGGAACGTGAGCATACATCCCAGACAAATGTTTCCGACAAGATCTAAAAAGTATTATCCTCTGCAACCTTGCCTGCATTTCTTGTCCTCCGACCAGACCCCCAACCCACGTTTTCTAGCTCCTTAATTTCGCCCACAATTGGGTCCTGATTAGCAGGTTTCTTATCGACGAGTTTACCTGCCTGATGGAGAAACTTCTCACGCATTGCGACGGCATCCGGATCTTCGTAGTTCAATTGCGTCATTGGAGGCGGTGTTTCAGACTCCTCTTCTTTATTAATACGGTCTCCTTCGAGGAAATCGAATCTTCCGCTGTTCACAAGGGAGGTAATTCCATCTGTGTTGATGCTATCTATCGCACTTCCGCACCCATCCTCGTTTAGAGTATCGATTGAGCTCGCGCGAGAGAAACCTTTATGTTCGTTAGAGCGGACGGAGGCATGAGAGGGCGCTCTTCCAAGAAGTGGTTTTCTGCGCCTTGAACGAGGGCGGTCGCCGTTCTCTCCTGCGTCTGATGCGGAGCGCGAGTTCGCTGCTCGTGCCTGCTGGAGGAATCCGCTCAGCGTTGTTTCGATTGCTGAGAGGGAGGTTGGATGTATTGCTTGTTCTGAGGATGGGCGTTTTCGTGGTGATACGTATGGTGTGTGTTGTTGGCTTGGTTCTTTTGTGGGGGATTCCCGTATGGTGGGTTCTTTTTGTAGGATTCCGGAGTTTTCTTGTAGGGGTGTTAAATGGCGCGAAGGAACTTGGTCTGTTTCCTTTGATGTTTGTTTAATGAGTTTGTTGGTCTGGGGGTGATCTGGGTGGGTCTGAGACTTGGTTGCGTTATTGCGTTTGTTAAGCTCCTGGGACTGTTCCCTCTGATCCGGGAGAGAATCAGCTCGCTTTTCCGAGTCTCGACTACTCTGTGAGGTTGGCTTGCGAATCAAAAAAGGTTCGAATGGCTGTTTCTGTGCTTTTTGAATGGAGGTCCATAACCAATCGACGGTGACTGCGGGAACGTTCCATTCATGCGTATGCCGGAGCTTCTCTTGATTTGCAGAACTAGGATCATTACATAACAAGACAGATGCACTTGGTGTCAGGTATTCATTATAGGTTGCACCTGGAATTATCAGTTCACGAAGAAGCCCTAGCAATGTAGTTCGAACTTACCAATCAGACCTACGAGTTTTGATAGATGTAGAAGGTCGATACGAGAAACCCCTGTAGAGCAGATTTTCATGCTGTCGAGCCCTACTCTGGTTAGTCTGCACATTTATACGTGAACAAGGAATAGGGACTTACCAGGTATAGGGAAACGAGGAATTGGGGTGTTTGCGATGTGTGACTCTGGCGGTACTAGAGTCTTGGCATCAAGGCATCTTTCCAACCACATATCGGTTACAACTTCACATTCGAATGCTAGGTCATCGGTGGATGGAACCTGGGCTCGAGGCATTTTGTAGGGAACAATCGTGTAGAGACCATGGCCTCTCTTAGGAATGTCTGGCCGAGAGAATTCACTCAATGAGCCGACCAACTGGGCTCCATTGAACGAAAGGTGTTGGCGGAGGACATTCGTCTGTATCTTGGTCAGATGCAAGAATCAAAACGATTGCGCATACAAACATACCTGTTTTGATGAGAATCCATGGATGAAGAAGTAACAACCGTCTAAAAAGCCATCGCGGTGGCTAGCCGCCTCTGAAACTTGTTGGCGAGGCCTCTGGAGCTTATCAACATTGCTTTGCTCCTGGGGTTCGGCAAAGGTAGTTTCACTAGCAAACGACTTGGCTTCTTGGACCATAGATGCGCGTTTGGCGAGTAACTGGCTATCATCTTTCTGCTGACTTCCTCTGGACCCGGTGCCTACGATGTCACCCCAGATCCCTTCGTTCTGGTCTACCAATTTGGCACTTGCGATGCGGCGCAACTTTCTAGGGCGAGGATTCGACGAGCCCTCGCTACCCAGATCTTTCTCCCGAGCAGCGGGCAGTGCGCGATTCCAGGCCCCCGCACCCTGCTGCTCTTCCGGCACAAGCGGGTGATACAATGTCTCCTCCAGAACCATTCCACGCTCTATACTGTCTGTGAACCATTTCACAGTAATGACCTTGATGTTCCATTGCGTCGCAAATTTATACTTCTGGCTCTCCGTATCTCGTGCGACAAGATGGGTGACTTGTTTCGTAAGATCTTTCCTAAATTCTGCTCCATGTGCAACAGCTGTGTCTTGGATATAGTTTCGGAATGCCACTAAGGGAAAAAAGTCTTAGTATGCATCGAGATGGCGTAAGAATTGTGCGCTTCCACTTACTATCCTCGAAGCCGGTTATACATATGCACAATCCGGCGAACGTCGGGAATTTGTATTGTTCTTCCAGACCTCGGACATCTGTATCCTCTCCCTGCATCCATGATTGGCGGACCGCTTCTACCCACTCCGGCTTAAGAACAGTGACATCTGCTCGTTCTCGTGCGACAAATTTGTATTTCGCAGTATTGATCTCGCCAACAATTAGATGCGTAACATCGGAGGTTAGGTCAAGTTTGAGAGTCGCTCCCATCTGGTGTGCGATTGTAGCCAATTCAGTCTAGTTCCGAGGGACGTTGTCAGTTTTCGCGACCATTTACTGATACGAATATGGGAAGCAAAGTGAGAGCATCAAAGATCTTTGTGAAAAATACACTAACCCGCTGTTCTGGTAGAATGGACGTGAAGCACAAGACCACCCCCGCAAGAGGATGCTCCTTGTCTGCGATATTATTAGTATAATGTCATATCGCCATAATATGAAGTGAACCTTATACGTACTTGAAGCACCTTTCTCTGCCATGCTTCATGATTGGCAGCGCATAAAAACAGCCTTAATCATTAATGGATTGATTTGATACTTCCGATGCCGCATTGGCGCGTTTTCGTGATGCGCTATCACGTGATTCAAGTACTTTATAGAAGGGCTAAACACACTGTACATGCATAGGTGTAAACTTGTGCTTTCTAAGCCAGAAAGTCTTCTTATTAGCAATTCAGACTATAGTAGCTGTTCTTAGCAACTGTTCTTTGTTTCTCTGATGTTGCTTTTGGCATCTTGGAATAACAGTGAGGTAATGAACGTGCCCTGTGTGATAGCCCTTATCGGGATCACGTGTGATATGCAGCGCGTCTCATTGTAGAACGCGGGTCGCGAAAGTCCTCAATCAATAGTATTGATTTCATAAAGTGATGTGCCACTGAATCATATTTCTCCAGTTTGCGTTCTTTGTATGTGTCTAACAGGAGTCTGGTCTTAATTCATCAAGTAATTTTACATGGTGCAAAATTGACATTGCAGGTTGCATGCAGATACTCGACTGCCTGACAAGCGCCGGAAGGGACCGTAATGTTCAAGAAAGCTGTACAAGACCATTCAGGAGGATCTGCTAAACCCCTTCAGTCCAGCCTTCTTCGCAGCAATGGGATTCAACCACCGAAACCACCGCCGCAGTCAGTAGGGGTCAAACGAAAAATCGAAATGGCCAATGCTGGGGGATCTGCACTAGGATCTTTGCACAGCGCTGTATACTTTGATGAGAATGATTTCGATGATGATCTTGATTTGGATAGCGAGGAGCCAGAGCCGTTTATACCACCGCCAAAAATTGTGAGGCCGAGCAACGAGCGACAGATCCCATTTCAAAGTACAAATTCAATTACCTTGGCGACGCACACGAACAAGCCGCCTCAAGTGTCGACGCCTGCGATGAAGAATGAAGACTTCGAGATAAAGTACCCCGAGTTGCCTTTAAGTCCTGATGATCCGGTACCATCCAGCAGCATACCAGTTCCTTGGTCATCCTCACCACCATCTCACTTTCAGAAGCCTACCAGTTCTCGAACTCTACCGTGGCTTAAGAAAGAGGAGCCGGTGCCAGCACCAGCCATACAGTACAAGAAGCCAGAAACGCCTGCGCGTCCAAAGTCGACTGCCATATGGAACAAATCAGCAAGCGCAATCAAGGAGGAACAGAAGGAACTACGGCGACAGAATAAGAATCAGAAGACCGATTCTGTGCAACACCGCCCACGTCCTAAGATGGCGTCCTTATTCCTTAGTGATGAGCAGAAACACGTACTTAATGCCGTTGTTGAGCAAGGGAAGAGTATATTCTTCACCGGTTCCGCCGGAACTGGAAAATCCGTTCTCATGAGAGAAATTATTAAGAAACTTCGCGACAAGTACAGGAGAGAACCTGACAGAGTGGCAGTGACTGCTTCAACAGGTCTTGCCGCTTGTAACATCGAGGGTGTTACCCTCCACAGCTTTGCAGGGATAGGATTGGGCAAAGAGCCTGTTCCTGAGCTTGTTAAGAAGGTCACAATTTGCACCATGCCCTGTAGAAAGGTACACTTATTGACACATCACAGGTCAAGAAAAATCCCAAAGGCCGGAATCGTTGGCTACGTACAAAGGTTCTGATTATTGATGAAGTATCTATGGTTGACGGGGATCTCTTCGATAAGCTCGAGGAGCTTGCTCGAAAGATTAGAAACAATGGCCGTCCTTTCGGCGGTATTCAGCTTGTCGTTACAGGCGACTTCTTTCAATTGCCTCCGGTCCCTGATGGCAGCACTCGAGAGGCAAAATTTGCATTTTCTGCTGCTACCTGGAACACCTCTATACAACACACAATCCTCTTGACCACTGTTTTCCGTCAAGCAGATCCTGATTTCGCCAACATGCTCAATGAAATGAGACTTGGAAAGCTCAGTCCGCGTACAATTGATACCTTCAAACAACTATCACGGCCACTTGACTTTCATGATTCTCTTGAAGCTACGGAGCTGTAAGGTCATCCCATTAGAAGACTACACGGGAACTAACATGGAATCACTTAGGTTCCCAACACGTCAAGAAGTAGAGTATGCAAACAGTGCAAGAATGCAAAGATTGTCCGGTGAAGTGATGACTTTCAATGCCGCAGATTCGGGCACAATTCAAGACGTACAGTATCGTGAGAAACTGCTGACCAACTGCATGGCTCCACAAGTAATTCACCTCAAAAAAGGAGCACAAGTCATGCTCATTAAAAATATGGAAGATACGCTCGTCAATGGATCAATTGGACGAGTGGTAGCATTTATGGATGAGGCAACATTCGATTTCTATCGTGAGAATGAAAGCGACTTCGCTGGTGACCAGGGGGCCCAAAGCGATGAAGAGATGATGAATCGCTCCCGCAAGAAACTAAAGTCTCTTGCTCACAAAGAAGGGGGTGTCGTAGTGAGCAAAAAATGGCCTCTTGTCTGTTTTGTACAGCCGGATGGAACCGAAAGACACCTGCTTTGCCAACCAGAAACATGGAAGATCGAGCTTCCCAACGGAGAGGTTCAGGCTCAGCGTGCACAGGTTCCATTGATTCTGGCATGGGCTCTGTCTATTCACAAGGCTCAGGGTCAGACGTTGCAGCGAGTTAAAGTCGACCTTGGACGGGTTTTCGAAAAAGGTCAGGCCTACGTTGCTCTGAGTCGTGCAACCTCCAAGGAAGGCCTTCAAGTCACACGGTTCGATGCACGAAAGGTCATGGTGCATCCCAAAGTCACCGAGTTTTACTCTAAACTCACCAGTATCACTGAGGTGCTCAAGCCGAAAGGCGGGCAACGGACTATTCCTGGTCATTACCCTGAAGACGACTTTGAAGATGATTATTTAGACTATCTATAAGGGTAAGAGATTTCACCCGCCGCACACATAACACTTCTATTATTACCTTCTTCATCATCGCTATTCTATATCTACATATTGTTTAAAAGCTCATATCCTTCACGGGGAAGCATGTAAAACGATACCATTGTGGTTTTAAGTTTGATTACTGTTGATATCATGTGAGAGATGAAAGTCACATATACTAGCGCATGCACAATGACAGTTGAATTGAGACCAATCATATTGCTCACTAACCCTCCCTAGTTAGTAGTACTGCAAATCCCATTGAAGTATCCATAGTAACCTTGACCATAAGATTAAACATCCAATTCAATTGGAGGATCAAAACTTACCGACAGGAGGGCCTCGCCTCGTGGTAAGATTTGAAATATACCGAACTAAAGTAGGAACCTTGTAAGCCACCCCACTTGGGCGCGCCTTCTTATCGATAAGATATTTAGCACTTCACGTGACGTCGGATAGAGCTGTAGCAACGAGCTGACAATTCATTTTGCGACGCTGTACTACAGGACCAACGTTTGTTCTACTTTTCCCCTGCTACCTTTCGCCAGTCTTTGGCATGCTTGTCAGATAGGCGATAGTTTGGTGATTGTATACTGAGTGATTATTCACCATGGCTTCCGAATTCATTGGATACAACGTTCTTGTGACGCTCAGAACTCCGCCTAATGCAACTGTCCAAGGCGTCGTGGCCAATGTCATAGGTCAACGTCTGATGCTGCGGGATGGTAAGTGAAGATAGTCCTATGCCATTTTCTTGTATCGGTCTAATATGCAACTGCTAGTCGCACTTTCGTGGAGCCCCCAGAAATTTCCCACGTATTTCATTGAAGCTGCCGACATTGCCGACCTCTCTCTTGGACCGAACCCCAATGGGCCCTCGCATAATCAGCAGCCAGGCAGAGAGAGCCAGAATATAGCTCATGCGCCCTCTGCGGTACCTGTACAACAACCATTTGTTGACCCGGCCATCTTAAGCTTCAGCAAACCATCTTCTGAGCAATTTATCCAGGGCGCAAGGCCAGGAGGGCCGCAGCTTCAACCCGCTCCGATCGACCGATTAAGCTCTCCAGCTTCTCAGAATATCCACCCCCCTCATCAGGTCCAGCGTGATCAGTCTGCAATCCTTACGGAGCCATTCAGCAACTTGGAGCTGAATGTAGACGGCAGAGCAAATGAGCCTCACAATGCGTCTCAGGGAAATGAGTTGCATGGGTCTATTCCTGCAGGCAAGGATGAGTTTACAACTGCACAACGCTCTGCTGCCCAGGTCAACCTAAAGGGTGCTCGTCGCGTTGGTCAGAACAAGTCCCAGCGTTCAGGGTTAACGCCTGTTAATGAGCACGATGGCGCAGCGAATACAAACCCGAAGACCCGAGGGTGGCGTCAGACTGCCTTTGTAGAACCTGCCAGTCCACAAAAGTACAGAGAAAGAGAGCCTAACTCACGGCGTCGGAAGAAGAAGAACCGCGGTTCTATGCTGAGGATCCCAATGGTTGGGCAACAGAAGATGCCACCGACATTCAAGAACTGGGTGATTTCGATTTTCAAAGTAATCTCTCCAAATTCGACAAAAGAAGAGTCTTTGAGGAGATTAGAAATGACGACACCACGGCAGATGAAGCACGATTGGTTAGTTTTAATAGAAGGGTCCCCAAGCCGGGCACAAACGGCGGGAAGAATCTGCATTGGACTGAGAATGTGCTTGATAGTCCTCCGGGCAGTGAAACTGGAGACACTGACCAGGAGCCAAGCGACGCGAAACTGAGCAGCGGAAACTACTCAGGACGCGAGCTCTCAAGAGGGTCAGCACGAGCCCAGAGCCGCAAGGGAAGTGGCATTCTAGGACAACCCCTGGTACCTCCCCAGATCAACACTGTTGGGCGTGGCCAACTCAGCGCTTCTCGTACTACCAGTCCTCGGCCTGGAAGTAAGGCTTCAGTTTCAGCATCGCCTATTAGCGGACCCGGCGTTCCTGGAGCTCCTTGCGTCTCACTACCACGAATAGAAGTTGTCCGACTGTGAGCCCGCTACAAGCCCTCGAAGTCGAGCAAATTGCGGTCGCCGAACTTGGCCTGACTGAAGATATGATCACAGAAAACGCTGGGAGAAGCATTGCGGAAGCTGCCGTTGGCCTTTTGTCTAATGATGCCGCTGCGCCTACCATGCTTGTGTTGACCGGCAACCATCGTACTGGCGCAAGGGCCGTATCTGCTGCTCGTCACCTCCGTAACAGAGGACACCGTGTGACTGTCTGTATGCTTGGCATTGAGCACGAAAATGAATTACTCGAGAGCTGCCGCAAGCAGATTGATGTTTTCAAGAAGATCGGTGGACGTGTACACAGATGGGAAGATTTATCAACGCGACTTTCAACTTCTGAATTCAGTCCTGATCTAGTCCTAGATGCTCTATTCGGCATTCACATAGCCTTTGATGATCTCCGCACCGACGATCAAGCCGTGGCTTTTGAGATGATCGCCTGGGCCAACAGAAGCAACCTCGAAGTTCTGTCTGTTGATGTTCCTTCGGGCTTCTCAGCTTCGAGCGGTAAGTCTCTCCTACATCGATAGGCACCTTTTAGTACCCTTACTAACACAAGCCAACTACAGGTGAGGTGACTGTAATGGAGGGAGGCCGGGTGTGCGTCAGTTCCAAATCAGTAGTCTGCCTCGGAGCACCCAAGACGGGAATCATAAATGCACTGCTGGCCGGGGAGGGTCTTACTTGGAGCCTTTCCGTAGCAGACATCGGGATTCCTCAGATTGTATGGAGGAAATATGGGACACGTCGCCGGCACGGAATTGACTTTGGCAATCGCTGGGTCGTGCCTCTACGCTACCAACCATCCTCCGCTTGAGATTGCTCATGCGCGGTGGCCCCTGCCCTTTACTTCACGACTGAACAGCTTAATTTATGGCGTTATACGGGTTTTACTAAAAGAAATAGCGGGATTGATTCAGGGTATACCCCTTTTTGCAGTGTCAACGAAATGCATCATATCATGCTAGTCATAGCTGGTTCGCACTACGGCGAAATGATTTTAAGGAACGAGCGGATTGTATCATATGTGGTTTTTCCAAGGCCAATTCACTACCTAGCAAAATAAAATACAGATCCATGGTTTTTTGATCCACTACCTAGCACCTAGCAGATGCCTATGTCAACCTGTATGTTAATTGGATCTATCCATCGGATGAACCTTGAATTGTCCATCCTAGCCCGATTTGGTTAGATCAGTATCTAGGCCGAGAGCAATACATCATGTCTTGGGGCGCGGCCATCGGTCGCATTTGCGAAGATTCAGTCAGAATATCAACATAAAGCTTCATCACCGAGATGGGGAAAGGTTAGTTCAGTGAATCAGCATTCTGGGCTACTTGAAAATTTAATTTAATGCTAACAGACCCTTTGCCTGGTAGGGACGGACAAGCTTTACGTATGATACACCTCATTAAAGATTTGTTCTGCGCGGTCTAATAAACTGGTTACTGATCGCAAAGCTCAAAACAGATCACACATTCTGAGTGGGCGTCGGGTGATGCATACTCTGCGAGCGCCGGAGCAGGGGGAGGAAAAGGAGGAGATAACGCACCCTTCAAACGCCTTCCTTTCAATTTCTGCTCTCTCTCACTGCAGCCATTCACCCACCCGGTTTGCACGCATTCCGGGATAATTTTCGACCTCACCAACATCCTCCCTTGGATCAAGAAACATGGAAAGAACCCGGTAGACGGTACACCGCTGAAAAACTCCGACCTCATTAAGCTCAACATCGCGAAGAATGAATCGGGTGATTACGTCGACCCAGTAACCTATAAAGTCTTGACGGATAACACGCATATTGTCGCCTTGCGCAATACCGGAAATGTCTTCGCTTGGGATACCGTTGAGCGATTGAATATCAAGGGGAAGTTGTGGCGCGACCTCGTCACAGATGAGGAATTCGGACGCAAGGACATAATTACACTACAGGATCCACAGAATATCGAGTCGCGGAATCTCAGCTCCTTCAATTATTTGAAGGAAGGCGAAAGTGTGCCTGGACAGAAAGAGGAAGAGTCCAATGTCAATGCCAGCGCATTGGGAAGTTCCGCGAAGATCTTGAAGGCAAAGGAGGCTGTGGCCAAAGCCCGTTCGGAGAGAGCGCAGCGAGCTGGCTCTGCTGCTGTTGCCAAGAAGGTCGATGGTAGTACGACTGCAGGTACTCAATCCAAAACGGCTTCGTTCCAATCTGGAAAACCTACACCATACAATGCAGCCAAGCATACTACGGGTCTGGCTGCGGCATCCTTCACGAGTACTGGTTTAACTCCACATACCTCTGCCGAGCTCGCGCTCCTTTCTGATGAGGAATACATGTTAAAACGGGGACGTGTAAAGCAAAAGGGTTATGCTCGAATCTCAACCACATCCGGTGATATTAACTTGGAGCTACAGACGGAATACGCGCCAAAGGCCGTGTGGAACTTCATCAAATTGGCTAAAAAGGGATATTATAAAGATGTCACTTTCCATCGCAATATTAAGGGCTTCATGATCCAGGGCGGAGATCCCTCGGGTACTGGCCGGGGTGGTGAAAGTATCTGGGGTAAATACTTCAATGATGAATTCGAGGGACCCTTGAAACATGATTCCAGAGGGACTCTCAGCATGGCCAATAAAGGCAAGAACACGAATAGTAGTCAGTTGTAAGTGTTCCTCTCTTGCCAAGTGTTTGCCTCTTTTTTGACCCCCACACTATGTCGGTAATTTGATCGAGACGGCATGTGCTAACTTTTGTTCTACTAGCTTTATTGCGTACCGTGCTCTCCCACACTTGAACAACAAGCATACTATTTTCGGTCATGTAATCGACGATCCGACTCCTTCGTCCACAACCCTAAACAAGCTGGAAACGCACCCGGTCAATGCGTCAACTAACAGACCTACCCCAGACATTCGCATCACAGATGTCACCATATTTGTGGACCCCTTTGAGGAGTTTTTGAATCAGAAAAAGGCGGAAGAGACGTCAGGGAAGAATAAAACAGCCGATTCAACAGAAGAAGACGGGAAAACTCAGCAGGAAGATGACGACCAGGTTACTTGGACAGGCAAAAGAGTGCGCGGCCCAGGGTCTTCAGGGGCTGGCGGTGATGCTTCAAGCGGAGTCGGAAAGTATTTGAAGGCTGCGTTGGCCAATCAAGCCGCTCAAGAGGAGGATGAAATCGTGGAATTTGTAGACGAGGAGCCAGAGCCCGAGCCGATGCGGAAGAAGTTCAAAAGCAGGGGAGGGTTTGGCGATTTCAGTTCGTGGGATTGAAAGTCTCCCTGTCGATGCTATGTATCTCGTACTGTAGGTACCTATGACTAAGATCATGATATGTCTATACAGCAGTGTCCGGGATCCGTCCCCGAATATTTATTTCTATATGAGTGTATGAATAAGTCGCAGGATGCTCAAATTACACGGAGTTTTTCGCTCAATACGGTAGGGCGTCCTGTGCTCATGTTTACGCTCTCTGTGATATGGTCAATGCTTCTATGACCTACGGGTTACAAATTCTTCGCCATATCGGTTACAAGGTAAGTCGTCAGTTATATATACTACTATACGTCTGTACACAAGTCAGTACTAGTAGAATGGTCCAATACGAGAAAACAACCAATAAATACGAACTAGTAGGAAAACCAAGGCACACTAGTTAGACGATATAACATACCATATCAGATCATATCGTATAGATTGGCATCTTATGATCCTTGACCCCTACTTAGTCCCAGGGGGAAAAAAGCAAACGGTTTGCCTCACTACTGTAAGTGATGCTGCTTTGGGGGATCCACAGGTCCCATTCCGTCCTCAACTAATAAAATAGTCTGGGCGGTCTTCCGCTCTTCCGGCACTGGCGTTCGACCGCCTGCGTGATTAGTTAAAACTCTTCCCCGACCTGGGTTTAGCGCGAAGGACGGGAGTGGGAAAGTAGCCTGAGTGCCAGCCTGCCAGGTGCTTTCCCAGCAATGATGAACAAACTACTAACTACTAACTACTAATAATAAATGCCATCGATCCCACCTCTAACCAACCCGCGCTCGCCGTACTTCAACCCGGAGTACTTCACCACTTCTACATCCAGAAACCTTGGAGCTTTGATTTCTATCTGATTGTCTTCCTCGTGAGTGCTATTTAATTCCTACCCAAATCCCGCCCAGTGGCTTAGCACACTGTTGTTTCTATGTGTCGCTGCGCAGTGGGGTTGATCATGATGTGCCCCCATGGGGCCTCATCCAAGGTGACAAGTCAGTTTCAGTTGGATAGTGTGACTTGTGATGATCCCTTCAAATCCATACCTATTTCCTACTAGTCACTGTTTTTTCGCGATGTGTTTTGGTATGTGCGGTAGAGAAGGGCCGCTATATGTCATGGACCTGTTGCTTTTCGACCACGCAGACGCCCAGACATTCGTCATCTGATACAACTGCTTCTTAAATATCACCTGAGTTTTTGAAACCATTACCTTTCAACCTACTTAAGTTGGAAGCCAGTTTTAGTAGACTCAGTCACTGACACTCTCCTTATTTTTTCTTGTTCAGCTCTTTCCCCTCGCTTCCGCCGCAATTCCTACCCTCCTACGTCAGGCGTTGCCAGATTTCGCATTTCGCCTTCCGCCGCCGCCGCCCTCTCCGCTCCAACTTTGGTCTGGTTTAATACCACAGTCCTATACCTACAATCAAGCTGGCAGGGAATAAGCGGAGAAGTTTTTCGAGCCAGGGTGGGTTGCTGAACAGAATGTTCAGTGGCTCCTCGAGCCCACCCAAAGACAAAGCAAATTCAGTTCCACATTCCGGTGCAGTCGATACACAATCTCTGAGTGTACATCCCGAGGAAGGCGCTGTAACCCATACCAGCAAGTCTTTGCCATCCGGTGGTTTCTTTACGAGAAGGACTAGCGAAGACCAGGGCCCTACCGGGGAGAAGAAGCGCCGGAGTAGCACAGTCACGAAAGCGGCGACGTTTTTCACCAACGCTAAGAATTCACTGAGTTTGAGTAGCAGTCCTCGTGAATCTTCGTCGTTCAATTACACGGTTCGGTCTCCGCAAACGTTGCAGTCACTTGGGAGCATGGACCCGGCATTGAGTGTCCCACAAGGGTCATTGAACAACTCGGCTGGCGATTCGCTACCAACTCCTCGCTCATCGTTCAAAGTTGGTGTCACAGAAGACCGGAATCGAAAATGTCGCCGGACTATGGAAGATACCCATGCATATCTTTACAACTTTTTGGGGACCCCCGCACCATTAGCCCGGGCTGATGGCGAGAACGAGACTGGTTCTTCCCTCGCACCCGATGAAGCGTCTAGTGTTGTTGAAACCGACAATGGGTACTTCGCCATTTTCGATGGGCATGCCGGCACATTTGCTGCTGAATGGTGTGGGAAGAAATTACATCTGATCCTAGAGGACATAATGAAGAAGAACCCCAATACGCCCGTTCCGGAACTTCTCGACCAAACATTTACTAGTGTTGATCAGCAGTTAGAGAAGCTACCTGTGAAGAACAGTGGGTGTACTGCTGTCATTGCCCTTCTGCGATGGGAGGACCGGATCCCCAGTTCGCATTCGGCAACCGGTTCTTCCGCACTTGCTCCCGCAGCAGCCGCAGCCGCGAAGGGCGATTCCAATTCCGAGGCCGATGATACTCCCACTCAAACAACTAGTACTGGCCCGTCAATCCTACCCAAACTGCAAGAGAAAGCTATACGGCAACGTGTCTTGTATACGGCTAATGTGGGTGATGCTCGTATAATCCTATGTCGCAACGGCAAGGCGCTCCGGTTGTCCTACGATCACAAAGGTAGCGACGAAAATGAAGGCAAGAGGATAGCAAACGCTGGGGGTTTGATACTTAATAATAGAGTAAATGGCGTTCTTGCAGTGACCAGAGCTCTGGGTGATGCCTATCTCAAGGATCTCGTCACTGGACACCCCTATACTACGGAGACCGTGGTTCAACCGGACTCTGACGAATTTATCATATTGGCCTGCGACGGGGTAAGTGATGGCTTTCGTGTTTTCCTATGAATGTCGCTAATGATCATGATTAGCTGTGGGATGTCTGTACTGATCAGGAAGCTGTGGACCTTGTTCGAAATGTTCCAGACGCTCAGGAAGCATCTAAGATCCTGGTCGATTATGCTCTTGCACGGTTTAGTACCGATAACCTTTCTTGCATGGTTATCCGACTCGATACGGATCGTGTCAAGGAGGTTATCAACAAGACAGCTGACCCAATCGGTGTGGCTGGCGATCCATCCATGGATGTCGAGCACGGCGTGAGCGAAGCAGATAAGATCATCGAGAGTGCAAGAAAGAGCATGGCCAATGCAGACATTGCAGACGATAATGAAACGGCTGAGAAGGGCAAAGGTGCAGATCTGCAAAAAATGGTCGATGGCGAACCCGGGCCAGAGATATCAATGGACGATCCTATTGATGCATCAACCGTCAGTCACTTGAACAAGACGGGTGCGAATGACGGAAACCCCTAAGCGTCGGGTAGCAACACCTGCGAGACTGACGTTGTGTCAGAAAGGGAGTGGGGAGGAAAGATTTGAACTACGTCCATATCTCGGTCCAGACAATGAATTTGCATCTTTGTTTCTTTGTTACCTTCTCTTTCCGTCCTTGTTCACTTCAACAACTTACTGGCGTCGATCGCAGTCTAGGGACGTGGGACCTCTGGTAGCCCACGGTCACCGGTATCATCTTCTTTTCCTGCCGTTTTAGACCCCAACATGTGGGTTTTTTTCCGATTCTTCTTTTTTCTGGTTTTGCACTCTTCTATTTTCTCATCTACTTAGAGGTACTCATCCTCTGCTTTTATGCCATTAGCCGAAGAAAGCGGTACCAACCCGGTTCTACGTGTTCTACCTCCTCGGACAATGACTGACTGCTACTCCTGTATTGGTACATAACGCTGTAAATCTGACCTCAAATTTGAAATCAAGAGAAATTAAAATGGGCCTTCGTAGATAGTTGGAGCTACAGCTAATGTTCCACCATATATATATTTTAACTAGGCGGAGAAGTAGTAATAAATTGACAATTTGCTAAACGCCATTGCATCATCTAAAAATACAAATCTGTATATGCGAAGAACGAATACATCTTTCCAATGTAATATCCACACAAGTTTCCATCAGTATTCAATACACGCCCTCTGTAGCCCTTAGGCCTTCTGCTCCGGCTGCTTCTCCTTAAACGTCTCATCAGCAAGAACCTCCACACCGTAGTTAGGCTTCTGTCCTGGCATAACATGGCCGCGGGTCAGGTCGAGTTCACCGTGGCGGACACGCTCAGGCCAAGATTCGGCGAAACGAGCATCGTGAATATCAGTCCAGAGGATCTTGACGCCGTTGCTTTCCAGGCCGTTTGTGCTTTCAGGCTCCTGGACCTTGTATTCGACTTCGGGTGTGCTCAAGGTCTTTTCCAGCTCAGCCACACGCTCAGCCTGCTCCGCGGCCTTAGCTGTCTCCTTCGCACGAGCCTCCCTACGGCGCCGTCTAGCAGTGCGAGTGAGGTATCCCCTTTTGCCATCAGCGAAGCCATTCGCGATCTCTTCCTCCTGGATGGCAAGAACGGCAGACACATCGGCAACACTGGTGGCCTTCTGGTCCATTAAAGCACGAGCGCGGTGTTTTTTCTCCATCAGCCAGCCAACCTTGTCTGCATACTTCTCGTCGAATTTCTTGGCTCCTTCGGGGTCTTTGGGCCGCTTCTGATCCAGGAACCTTTCACTGATGGTGATCATCTCACGAGGTGGGGCGAGTTGGCGCTGCATGGCAAATTCGCGGAGAAGATGGTAGGCACGGAGGCCAACCTTGGGTTCGTTGAAATGGACGGAGTAGTACGGCACCCACATGTCCTTTCGGAGTGTAGCGGGGACGGTCTTTTTGCCGTGGTATACTAGCTGCCGGAGGACATTGTTTTTCTAGGGGAATATACATCTTAGAATCTGCTCCTGTGGGATTACAGAACGGGCACTATAATGAAAATGGTAGTCTTACCTCCAAATACCGCGTCAATGAGTAGACAACCTGGTTGGTGCGCATGTTATGATAGACGAAGATGTTCTTCCCGTGCGTAATGGCATTGATGGCCTTTCGTAACCGGACTCCCTCCTTCCACTGATGTGTCTTGAAAGCATTCGAGTTCTGTTCCCGCGCTTTTCCCTGTATCACGCTATGGTTCTCGACTGGCGGGCGACGGACGACGTTCCATGTCCCGATTTTGGTCGGGTCCAGGATCTTCTGGAACGGCTTGGTGACGGACTGCGAGGCCATTGCGGCCAGAAACGCACTGCTGCGTCTCTCTTATTGATCGAGCTTGAGGTTAAGTTGAGTAGAGTGTTCCCCCCTCTAGTGCATAGCGATTCGGGGAAAGGTGAGGTGAGGTGTGGTGAGGTTGATGGAGTGTCGGAAGCTGGAAAGTGAGACCGCGCGGATCAATTTTTCGACGGGGAGACCAAACCCGACCAAACCAAATGGGCCAACCCGCCCGTCACCTCCGCAGAGCAATGGATGCTTGTGTTTAAGCTCCCATCATTCTTAATGAGCATTCGAGTTTAGCGCACATCTCATCCTTGTTATACTTTAATTTCTGAATTTACTTACACTCCATGTTATACTTTGGAGCTGCACCTATAATGATTGCGCACATCAACTAAACAATCAAACTGCCGCAATGTCGCTGACTATTACCTCGGAGGGCATAGGCCATGATGATGCTGGTAATCGTCGCGAGAGATCTTGGCTGTTCCCATCGGTAATTTCATCCTACAGTAGAATATCTGCCAATTGGTCTGGGGGGTAAGCTGATAGGCTTGTTTTCTAGAATCGCAAGCTTCGCCATCTACAAGGCATCTCGATTCGTAATCTTGTTGTTGACCCCCCGAGCAGGACTCGGGGGAAAACTATTGATGACGAAGATATTCCCAACTCGTTCCAATCGCCGTCGAAGATCCTTGCACAGGATGCGAGTCGCCCCCTGAATCACTCGCGCTCGTTCACAAATCTCAAATCCGTCAAGGCAACCGGCGATAAGTGTATTAGTCGCGAGCCGCCACCCCGGCGACAGCCACAACAAAGGCGAAACACCTTACCTTGGAGCGATCCCAACCCGCGTGCTAGACAAGTAAAATTGGAGGATATCACGAGGAGTCGAATGGCAGATACCTGGTTCTCCATGCATTGCGACAAGATCGAAGAACCGGTGTATGTGAGCGAGATCGTGAAGGATGCAACGAACCCAAGCTTCCGTTCCTTCGACCTGAACATGTGCGGGCCCTTAGTCTCGCGATCGGATAGCTTCACCCTCAAATTATGGGCGAAGACGACCGCTATGGAAGAGTACATGCTGTTGGTGGAATTGCAGTTACATCTACAATCCCTACAGTTTCTAGGAAAGTCGTTGGATAGCTTCCACCAACCGCTACCGTCGAACTCAGTTCTTTGCCATTTTGCGGACGGCGTTTATGGGAATCTGACGGATCTTCCACCAGTTTGGGTGCCTTTGCCTGCAAAAGCATCCAAAACTTCCGATAGGAATGCGCTGCCGACTTCATCCTACGACGCACTGATGCGGCTGGCAAACCTGGATGAGTGCATTCAAGACGCACTTATCACCAGGGAGAAGCTGGAGGCTCAAATAAGTTCAATTCTGGAGAGGAACCAGAAAGCTTTAGCCGTGACTTGCGAGGTTTCGCGAGCTCGGGATAAAGTTACGCTGACGAAACAGGCGGCTGTGTCTGAGAGGAAACAACTTCGCTTGACTAGGAAACGTAAGGAAGAACTGGTCGCCAGTTTACGCGCGAGGAGGGAGGCTATGGCGCGTGGGCGCCAGACGCAAGAAAGAGCTCGTAGTCATCTGCCCGATGCGCAGGAGAAGCTGCACTCCAGCGCTAAATTACTGGAAAAAGAGACAGAAGACTCCAAGGGCCAAATTCGGCGCATCTCAGAGGATCTACTGGCCATCTACCCCATTGAGCCGATCCCCGACAAACCGCTCGCGTTCACAATAGCGGGCCTGGCCTTGCCGAACTCGAACTTCACCGATATTCATCGGGACGCTGTTGCGGCCGCACTGGGATATACTGCACATTTGGTTTATTTACTGTCCTTCTATCTATCCGTGTCCGTACCTTATCCGATCAATCCGTATCTGTCCAACTCGCAGATCCAGGACCCGGTGTCAGTCTCGCTCCCACAACGAACATACCCTCTGTACCCGGTCAACGTCCATTACCGGTTCGAATATGGGGTGTTTCTGTTGAATAAGAACATTGAGTTTCTGCTGACTAAGCGGGGCCTTCGGGTGCTGGACATTCGACAAACTCTCCCCAACCTGAAGTATCTGCTGTACGTGCTCACCGCAGGGACAGCAGAAATCCCCGCACGGAAGGCTGGGGGAATTCGAGGCCTGCTACCGGGCCGGTTGACCCCCAGCATGTCAAGACGCGGGAGCGAAGACAGCGTTGCATACAGCGAATCCAACTTACCCCGGAAAATGATGAGTTCGTTGGTGAAATCCAATGGGGACGTCGCGCTTGACAAGGGGAAGAAAAATATCCCTGTCTTGAACACGACGTCAGCCTCTCAGGTGGCCTAAACCCGGTCCAGTCCCTCGTGGTGGTTCTGGATCTGCGTAAAGGGGGCTTATCTTGCTGACCCCTAGCGTCTCCGCCGTGATGATTTTTACGATCAGTAAATTTTTCTCTTTCTCGATCTTGTTTAATTACGATGTGGGTGGAATTTACTGTGCATCTGTAGCATTTGTGATGGGTTGATACCCCATATTTTAAGCATTTCCATTTGTATATTGCTGCGTTCTCAAATAGAGGGAGACATACAACGGGATGAAAAAAGTACCAAGGAAAATAAAACCACGACTGGCGGGAACGCGAACCGACGGTGTCGAGTCTAATGGGGATTACTATTGATAACAGATATCACTGTTCAGGGAATTCATTGCAAATATAATTAAATTTGACATTCGGCTACCCCGCATTTCCTTCCCCATTTATCGACTTTCCGTGGATACTGTGATTTTCTTCCAAATTCCATTTCCAATTGCAAACTTGTCGGTCTGACTGACTCTTGCAATGGTTTGAAGGAAGACCACCCGTTCTTTGTTGTGCGAATACCGAAGGAAATTCCAATCTTGCGCATGGGAGAAGAAGGCGTGTCGTCGTGCCTGATAAATACCCGCGAACCCCACCGCTTTCTAACGGAGCCCTCGCTTTGCATCGGCTTTCTCCAACTCCCAACCTGACCATAATCCACTTTGTGCGCCGGCAAAGGGCGGCACTACTGGAGGATTGGAGAACATGATGGCAGCAAGCAATGCACAACCCGACACTGGTCTCTATACCCAAAACAGCCAGAATCAGAAATCCCCGTCGCCCCAGGCCCAGCATCGCCGCGGTTATCAGGCATGCGACCCTTGTCGGAAACGCAAGGTGAAGTGTGATCTTGGCAGTAAGCGCAGTCCTCACATCGCAATCATACGATGCCCCTAGTCCCTTAATACAGTAGAGTTATGACCGCTGACAGGCGTCGTAGGTGTCGACAATCCCCGTCCTCCGCCCTGTGTACGATGTCGTCGCGAGAGCAAGCGCTGCGAGTTCTCCGCCACCCGGCGCAAGCGCAAACCCTCGGAAGTCGAGGAGACCGTAGATGGCGTACTCCGACGCGATAAGAGGATGATGATCGGGGATCCCGCATCAAATGATTCTCATAGTGATGCATCGTCGTCCTATGCGCAGCCTGAGCCGGCGTCGTTTGAGAGCAATAGTGCCATTCCACAGCAGAAGTGGTCGTCCGAGCGATCACCGACGGTCGCCTCCCAGGTACCCCAGCCTACTACCAGCAGCCATCAATTCACGTCCAACACCCCTTCATCTACCACACACTTCCCCGATGCACGGAATACTCGATTGGTATACCCCTTGGGGGACCGAGCAACCAGTTTTAGTCTTGACGGCGGGCAAACCATGATGAATCGTACCGCGGTCGAGTTGCTGTCACCTGCAATCAGTAACAGTCACGATGCGTTACATCTGTTGTCCGAGGCTGCAGGCCGGACGGAAGATCTCAACCGTCAAAGTCTTGAAAATCGTTACGCAGCTCGGCAGTCTGTCTCGTCGTTCAACTCACCCATGTCACCCCTTACCCAGGTTGGCACACCCCGAAGCGCAGGAGGCTCTTTCTCCAGGCCAGCTCGGTCTGGAGTGCAGATGAATAACTATTTCCCAACGACTGGATCGAGCTCGGTAGATCATCAAGCCTCTGATGGCCGTGGCCAGTCAGGTCCTTCGGAAAGTCTTCAAGACCCAGGCTTTACGGATGCTGTCAAGGCCTGGTCACGATTGCGTTTCGTCCGTGCTGGCTGGCTTTCAGTCGAGGAAGCCATGGCTTATGTTGCATAGTATGTTACTTTCTTTCTTTCATATCATCGCTCGCTGACTTGGGTAGTTACTACAAAAATCTGGCTAATTTGAGCCCAATCGTCATCCCTGATTTCTCTCACCCTTCTACCCATCGTACTTTGCTCACCGACGAGCCCGTGCTGGCTGTTACGCTTCTTACAACAGCATCACGACATATGAAACCCAAGGGAGACGGAGCATATACCCGTTCCTTTTACATCCATGACCGGCTCTGGTCATATCTACGTGGAATGATTGAGCGTCTCTTTTGGGGTCAAGAGAAGTTCGGTGGGGATAGCATGGGAATCAGCAAACCACGCTCGTTCGACCTAGCGCCCACATCGGCGAAAGTGAATCTCAAGGGCAATCTGCGATCGCTAGGAACTATAGAAGCTCTATTGCTGCTAACAGACTGGCATCCACGGAATTTACATTTCCCTCCTGGTGACGACGAGAACACACTACTGGACTTGGATGCCCAGACGCGGCCCGAAAAGGATTCAGAAATGGACGCCGACAATATCCTGAATCGTAACCAGAACACCTCGGCAGAAGGCCGACTTGCTTTTCAGAAGTGGCTGGAACCTGCTTGGCGGTCCGATCGAATGTCTTGGATGCTACTTAGCACAGCACAAGCCTTAGCATTCGAGCTGGGGGTGTTCGATCAGAAGAACGACGAGAAGGCGGCGAGCGAATATCCAGCTGAGCACACACGAAAAAGGCGGCTTCGTCGCCTTATCCTTGTGTACAACACGCAGAGCAGTGGCCGCATTGGTATTCCGTCGATGCTTCCTCTCCCGCAATACGCCAACGACATCCAACCGACGAATGTAGCCAATGTTAAAGGTGGCGATGCGAACATTGACAAAATGCACGATTGTTGGATCGGAATTACCAAGATTATGTACCAGAGTAACCAACTACTGTTCGCCTCCAACGAACAAACATCAGAGTTGATCCGCAGTGGTCGATATCGAGATCAGATTGACAGATTCCAGCCATTTTTGCGTGAATGGCGTCAGAACATTGACACTCTTGATCGTAAGTTTCTATTATCTGGTTCATGGGTCAACGCTGACAATCCCAGTTGCACCTCCAATGAGGATGCTCTTGATGATTGAGTATGAATATACTCGTAAGTTGCTCTTCTAACCTGTGTTGTGCTGAAGACTGACATCCTCCAGGATTATATGTCAATTCCCTGGCTCTACAGGCTGTAGTTGACCGGTGGACAACCATGTCGAACGAAGCCGCCCAAAATACAAGGCCAGGATCTGGGGCAACTTCAGCCAATAGCTGGTTCAACGTGCTCATGGAGTTGTACCGTGTCAATGAACAGTATATTCAAGAGGTTGTGGACGCGTCGCGCAGAATTCTGCAGACCGTACTGGAGGAGCTTATTCCTGGAGATCACCTCAAGCATGCACCTGTCAGGACCTACTTCCGAATCTTGTCTGGGATGATTTTTATTCTCAAGGTATGTCTTATCGTCTACAGGGTTTATGCCATATTGACTAACGAAATAGACATTCACTCTTGGTGCGAGAGAAGACGACGTTCGTGTCTCCTTGGACCTCCAGGACCGAACCGTTGAAGCGTTACGGACACATGTGGTAGACGATGTCCACCTGAGTCACGCCATCGCCCGACTGCTAGAGCTGCTCACGACCAGCATTCGTACTCGATTCTTGCGATTCGCGCCGATGGACCGTGGCAACGACGGCGAGCACGACCGCGCGTCTGCACCAACCTCCCGAGCCCAATCACCCCGTCTGCGCGAAAACCGGCGAGACGGCACGAGCAATGGCTGGACACCAGGGCAAAACTCGACGCATAATTTGGGCTATGTTGACAGTAATGGTCACTCGACCGGCACTCCGATGACTTCGGTACATGACCCACTGGCTGGAATCCCGGCACAGCCGATCAACTCGTCCAACATTAACGTTTCATTCATGCCCCCACCGCCATCCGTGTATCACAACTACTATGACCCGAATGCAACGCCCCCCGCGGGAGACCTGGACGGCACGAACGTTCCGTCGCAGTCAATGCAGGACTCTGGCGGACTACCAGACTGGTTTGCCCTGCCGCTCGACCAATTCTTCAACAGCTCCACCCTAGTGGATCAGGGTCTAGGGGGCACAGGACCCATGGTGGGCGAATTCGACATGCTCGAAGTCCTCCTGAACGAACAGTACGACGGACACGCTGACAATCTTGAGTCCACCGGCGGTGGCACCATTCCGTCTCAATTTTTACAATCATCGTAAACAACATGAAATCACGGCAGATATCGACACCCCCCCCCCCAGTCACATAGGAATTGCGATTGTGCAATGGATTAAAGGAGATAAATACCCTAATGTACAAATGAACGTTATGATATCATCAATCAATCATTGTCAATAAATTACATATATCAAAAATTCAATTCCCCGGCAGTTACTTCCCCTTGACAAGTCCAACGTCAAAACTAAGTACAAACGATTTGTAAAACAATCAAGCTAAAACAAAAAATACCTCACATAAACTACACTCTCCCTCCCTACTCTAAGCATCCAGACCCACAAAATAAAATCCTCCACAAATCCACCCAACAATCCCTAACGAATAAAATCATGACAAACCCCCACGAGCAAAAAAAAGAAAAGGAGGGAAAGAAAGGAAAGGAAAGGAAGGTAAAAAAGAGCAGAAGTACAATCCGAACCTACCAGGAACATCCGCTTAGTCAACCGTTCCCGCCACGTTTTCACCCTTATCTGACGGCTCGGAGATCGACCGGCGATTTGCCGTTACATGTAATAAATGTTAATCTGAGAGTGGGGATTGATTTGCGTTTGGTTGATGACATATGATTCGATGATTTATGGCGTGGGGGGAGGGTGTTTTTGTTTGTTATTTGAGTAGGAGATTCAGGGTACTAGTAGGGAGTACGTTTTTGGATTTAGCTATGTTGGGAATTGTTTTGGGGACTTGTGTTGTTTTCTTATGCGTGAGGGGTGTTCGGGAATGTGGTGGAGATGTGGTGATCATGATGTTGAGGAGTGTCCTTTGTATGTCTTTGTTTCAGAAATATAGATTGAGTTATGTCATTGATGTTGGACAGTTGCACGTGTAAGGGCTGAGAATAGAGTTTTGGCGAATTATATCTGAAACGGGACCTGTTTGAGATTTAGTG